CCCCCCCGTGCGACTGACGTCTTTGTCTCTCTTTCATAACCGCAGCGCCGACCGTCGCCGCGCTATTGAAAGTGCGAGAGCGCGCGCAGAATAACGCGCGCGCGCGTCACTTTTTTACTCGCCATTGTCTCCCGCTGCCCTGGAAAAAATAATTTTGCTATAAGGAGAAGGTGAAAGGAGAGGGGAAAGACGGATTGGTGTTTGTGGCCGCCGCTGCTGCTGGAGGAAAAAAAATGGCGAAGCCAAAGAAAGTAAAAGGGGAGATTAAAATTAAGGAGGGCCCGCAAGACGCGCTTTTACGATCCCGCTAAGTCTCCCGTGGTCCAATGAAAGAGACGTCACGGGATACATCAGCGTGAAATCGACGAGCGACGACGCCGCCGGTTGTTTCGAGGCCAAGAGTCGCTCTGCTGTGAACGTGCCGCACAGGCACGGCCGGGCGCGGGGAGGGGCAGCAGCTGGAGCGGGGGTCGACGGCGAGGTCTCGAAATTATGTTCACTGAATCGAGCGCGAGAAACACACTTCACTCGATTAAGTCGCAGCAGCGCAGCAGCGGCTGAGTCGGCGGGGGCAAATCTACATGCCGACGCATGAATTAATTAATTGGCACCGACAAGCTGCTCCGCGTCACCGTCGTCGCCGCGCTGCGTTCGTAAACGCCGGAGGACGGGAAGATTTTCCGCATGTTTGGCGCAATTCGTCGAAGCAACGTTCGTAGAAATCTGTGAGCACTGTTTCCTGGCAAGGGATTTGGAAAGCACTGTGAAAAACATCTTCGTAAATTTAAAACACAGTTTATACTTTAGTTTTACAAAATATGTTGTAAACAGACCATTCTTGCTCTAGAATAAATAACAAGTCGATTCATAGTGCTTATAATTTTACCCTTTCAAACTGTAATTTTACCTTGCAACATAGACAATTTTCTTCTAGCCCTTACTAGTTAGTCTTTCAATGTAAGCTTGGAAAGATTAAAATAAAAAGTTTTTTGTGAATTATAAACGCGAAGCATCACAACAACACTTTGCTGACCGTCACAGATGATTTTTCCTTGCATTTCCTCTCCTTCGCATTCGCAATCCGTCCTCTTGCGCTGCAGGCTGCTGAGCGGGCACACGAGTCTGAGGAGACGAGCCTCCAGAGGCACGCACCGTGCGCGCCCCACACGACGCGTGTTTACAACCAGGCCGGCGCGGGGGCGGCACTAAAATAATACAACTTTCTTGACACTCGCATTTTCTACTTGTCAACTTTTGATGCGGTCTTATGGGCGCGGGGGTCGAGGCGGCTGCCACCGGGGGGCTCATTTGGTATGTAGATGGCGGCCCTGAAGGGGCCCCCTGGAGGAGCCCCGCGGGGGGACCCCCTCCCCGCCCCCCTCACCCCACATCCCTGGAGCGTCCAACACCCATCATTTTGAATCTCTACATCACCGCGCGCTCTCACCGGGCCCTGCGTAGGTCCCGAGTGCCACGCGCGCGCCTTCGGAACGGTAAATAAGAAACGTGAAGAAAAACAAAATCGCGCGCCGTGTTTCACAGGGTCGCCTACGGCACGCGGAAACAGAATCCCGCCCACACGTGATGCGGCGGAAAGTGCGGAATAAGAGGGGAGGACTGAGCGGGGAAAAGGTGGATTCAATTACAAACGATTGAAATACGTAAAAATAAAACTGGAGCAATACGGCATCAACGACCATGGCGGCGAAGCGTGTAATAAACTGGCAGAGCCACGGGCGGGATGTGATTCCTGATGTCTGCCGTGTCCTGCCCCGCCCCACCACAACCCGCCCGCCGACGCCCGGCTCACGTGCTCACGGCCATGAATTATGTAATATTTTAATGGGCTGCGTATAGGGCAGTACCGGGGAAAAGCCTGTGTGCGCCGTGTACTGCACAGAAAAAATCGGTCCCGCGGTGGGGAGCCCCCACAGCGTCGCTCAAGACATTCTCTCCCTTTCCCTCCCACTCTCCATCTCCGTCCTTCCCTCGCCTTCTCGCTCGCTCCCTCTCTCTCTTTCGTTGAGCGCGCGCGCGTGCGTGCGTGTGTGTGTGTGTGTGTGTGTGTGTGTGTGTGTGTGTGTGTGTGAAAGACAGTGACACAACGTTTACTAAAAGTGAACAAAAAAGTTTCACACTACATGACACTCAATGTAATTGGAGAAGTGGAAGAAAAGGGGCCCGATAAAATGAGGTTTTAAAAAGTCAAAACGCACACTTGCATGTAAATGTGTCCAAATGGAAGTTTGTCAATGTGTGGAGGAGAGGAAAAAGAGAAACTGGAAGGAAGACGAGTCAGGTCGGGGCTTACGGTCAAGTGAAGAGCATTTCGTGAGCGATCCCTGAAGTGTGTGGACAGAGTTCGCACAGCACAGAAACCTTCAGATAAAATAATTAAATAGAAAAAGGCAATATAGTACGGCTTTCACTAGCTGTAGCTCACAACAAGCGAAAGAGGAAACTGGCGAGCGGTTGCGCTGCGCGGCGAGCCCAGCGCCTGTGGTCTGGAGGGTAGGCCAGCCCGCTGCGCACGCCGGCGCAACGGGACAGCCTACCTCCCAGGCGCTATGAAGCTAAGGTGCCCAAGCAAAAATCATCGTAAATCTTGTCGTCTCCGAGCGGTTGCTGAACATGTATCCCCTCTCACAACAAACGCCAATATAGTAATAGAATTTATGAGTTGTGACTTATAGGTAAACTATTTACAGTGTCACTTTCTGCAAACTGACGGTATACTAACACTTGAGGAAATCAGATGCCTCAGCTATTATTTGGTCTTAAAGAACAGTGAGAGCCTCTCGCGTCCTTTCGGCTGGATATGTCACGCAAATTGACTAGAGTGAACAATATTCGCTCTTCCTTTGCGGCCTCGTCGATTTTTCCTAAATCCGCGCCCCCCCCCCTAACACACGCACACACACACATATGAATACTAATAACGAACCATCGCGCGCGTCCCACCACGGCGGATCAAAGTGACAAAATAGCAACCGTTTTACATATTTAGGCCGGTGGCTCAGTCCCCACACGAGCCCACCGGGGAGGGGCTGCTCTGTGTCACCCCCCACCTCCACTCCCCCGACAGATGCCCCTTTCCAACCCCCGCAGCGTAGGCCTTTCGGCACCCGCACACTCCCAGCTACCAACGCCGAGTCAAGCGCAGCAGCAGGCAGAACGGAACTTGACCCAATGTCGACAATTTTCACGACTTTTGCCTCCCGCCGCTCTACTGCTTTTGCTTCTG